TGTTAAAATTATAGCCTTTATATTTGTGTTCTGCTGTCTTGTTTTGAAGACACTGGAACTTGTACACACACAGCAGCTGTATAACCTTCCAATCACACAATATTTGCCTTTTATTGCATTCTTTTCAGTGAATTTGAAGATATAAAAGCAAAATACTAGTAGCTGATGACAAGGAATTTATAGATGAATGAATTGGTTCAGTACCTACATCTCCATTTTTTTCATTAATACTTGTAAGATCTTTAACTTTCCCAACTATAATTTTAAATGGAAAATTCCCATGTCCACATTTACAATGTGGATGAGTAGCCAAGTGATGAAAAAAAGAATCCTGAATAAAATTAAATGTAGTTTTTAATCAATAAACAAGGAGAACCTCAGTTGTCACTGCCACACGGATACTTACCTTTCTTAGGGCATGTGCTATATCCTTCAAGCTCTCTTTTCAGAGGTAGAATGTGTAATTATTTCTTCTCATGTTTTCTTTCCTGCTCTCTCCACGCCCCTCCTGCCCTGCAGTGGAGCAGATTACTACGACTATGGCCACGGACTGAGTGAAGACACCTACGACTCCTACGGTGAGTGGCTTTAGCAGCTCAATCACTGCAGCAACAGACTCTTGGCAAAAAAAAAATCATAATGAAAGGATAATTTCTGTGAGGCAAGGCTTAGTCCTGGTAATGGCTGCTCAGGGATTCCTGAGATGTCACAGAGCTCCTCGTGTGCTTATTGAGAAAAATGCCCTCTGTGGTCTGTTAGCTAAAGCAGTCATGGGAAACTAAAACCAAAGATGTAGAGAAAATAAAACTTAAATCATGATGCATGCTGCTTTTTCATGTCACATTCAATAAGATTTAAGAAAAATACGGGGGTGGAGGACCTTTTTCCAGGAACTTTTGGCTGCCAAAAGCAAGTGCTTGTGGTGTGGCACAGCTTGCATTGAGACTTGGTACAAGGTAGGAATCTGCTGAAGCTCCCAGCTGAATTAGAGCCTAATTGAGTGTGGTTTAGCCTTGTATGGTCCTTTTGTTTTAATTCATTTTCATGCATCAGTCCTGGGAAATCAAGCAGGGAGTCATTATGTAAAGGTTAGGGAAGCACTTTAGGTAGCTAATAGACATGAGGGCAGGGGGTTACAGAGACAAAACAATGCATAATGAAGCAAAAAAAAACATATGCCAGATCATGTTGTAAAGGTCACTTTTTTTTCTTTTTTTTTTTTTTTTTTTTTAACATACAAGTGTGATGGTGACAGGTTTAATTAAAGAAATCTGTTACAGGTTAGCAGCATAAAGCATTTTAAAAGGCACCTTTGATTAAGGGATAAATGATAAGTCTCTGGCTAGAGATCAGAGAAATACAATCTAGGTCTCTCAAAGCTCAAACATTTGAGGGCTGTTAGTGACCTGTGTAAAAGATGTGATTCTGAGTGAGGAATGCTTCAATGACTTGAGAAATCTACTTGAAATTTTTGGAGGTTTATTTCTTTAACTCCATGTGGAAGTGCTTCCTGCTTGAAACTAAAATGATTTTAACTAAGTTGTGATAAATGCACCTAATGCAGTAGTTTGCCCAACATACCTGCTTAAACTAATTATTTTGGTTAAGGAGAAAGACAGTTCATCAAATTAAGAGGTCGCTTGAAATTCCTATGTCCCCCAATATTTTCATTTGGTGTTGATAGATATATAGCTTAAATCTTCATTTCAGCATTAAAATAAACTGTTTGCCATTATAAACCTGATGTTTCTAAGACTATTTCAGTAATGCAAAATTGATGGGGGAAAAATGTATGAAACTGCTTAATGTAGATAGACTGATGGGGAGAGATATTGATTGCAATATTTAAGGTAGAAAATATGGATTTTTCATTGCTTTTGCATTTAAAATTGGTTTTCTATTTATCAAAGCACAGCCACTCAGAATATTAAGTGGTGTATTTATTCAAGTTGAAAGAAAGACTATAAATACCTTAAAGAATGATTATGGGTTGCAGCCACTGTAGTTTTTGCACATATAAATAGTTATACACTTTATTTCTTAAGGATATCCCTTAAAAGCAGAGTTAGAGATTAATAACCATCTTCACTACATGTAAAGAACATTAGATGCCTCAAAATAAGTAACACTGCCTAGTGAGCAGGCAGTTGTCTAGTGCTGGCTGAGAGGAAATTCAGATTCCCAAGTGGTATCTCAACTTTTCCTTTGAGAAACTGAGGTGACAATCCAGAGGATGTAGGAAGAATATCAGTGGTTTTGGGATTTGGAGCTCTGAACAGCACCAAAATAAAAACTGAGAAACAGTAAGATAACTCTTTACCCTGCTGATTTGATCAACTGCTTGAAAAAGAGCAAGTATTCCCCTTAAACTGTATCAAGTCTTCTCTTTTAATTTCATCAAATTAAAAGAGAAGACTTGCAGCAGTGTTTAAAAGGATATTTTTAATTCCTACCTCTGAGTCAGCTGCCAGTACTATTAGGCTCAGGGTCTTTACCAAGACTTCTCTTTTAATTTCATCAGTTCTTGCAGCAGTGTTTAAAAGGATATTTTTAATTCCTACCTCTGAGTCAGCTGCCAGTACTATTAGGCTCAGGGTCTTTTTCTTTTTTAATGTAAATCTTGCTTTCTGCGTGATGAAGAAGCACAAGAGGTTGTTACCAGATGCCCCTGGAAATCACCTGAGGTGAAAGTTTAATTCTTTCAGCCTTTCACCAAATTTGAACTTGTTCCTTTTACCTCCTAGGCAAATGTCCTGACCACCTGGGTATGATTTATAGCCTGGACTCTGCAGGCAGCCACCTACCATCTACATTATTAACAAGTAGTTAGGATGAGGCTTCTGCGAAGGGATTGTGAAACTGAACCCTTGACATATGGGATCATTGTCATCTAATTTCAGATATCTCATGTCAGAGCAAGTTACCTCAGCATTCAGATTGCAGGGGTTCTTTGAGTTCTTTTTTTAAAGACAAAGTGATGTCTACATTTATTCTGCCATACATTTGGATTCTGCCTTTAGCTTCTGGATTGCATTGGGTCCACTGGAGTGCCTGTCTGTTTAGGGCAGGGTAGTTCAGCAAAAATAAGTATGGAAGCACATACACTGTTTTAATGTCTGTTTTCTTTTGGGGATGTTTTTTTTTTGTTGCTGCTTTTTTATTTTTGTTCTTGAAGATGTGACATAGTACTCTGATTTGTTTACATCATTAAAGTGTACCTAAGTACTGTTTCCTTAAACTCTACATTTAATTCTATGTTTTCCTTTTTGCAACTGCCTGGCATAGTAGGTCTGACTCTCATTTAAGATAATAACTTTTGCTATTTTTTAAAATATTTATTACCATTAAAAGGTGGTAGGATTATGAATCATTAAATACAGCACAAGCTTTTTTTACAAACTTATTTTATAGCCAAAATTCAAACAACCAATGTTACTTGTCCTTTTAATATTTTTTTTTTAAATCTGCCCTCCTATTTCTTGCATTTCAGAGGAGGTGTATGTTTACCTTCAGAGAAATGGAATATTGGCGCTAGCATGCTAAAAGCCACAGGTGTTTGTAGTGATACTTGAGGCTTGGTTTGCATGTTTGAATTAGGCCTAAACTGGCACTGATGCAGAGAAACTTATTTCTGAGGGCAGCTTATTTCCTTATACATAATTCATACCTTCCATTCATTTCATCCCATGGCAATTATTGGTGTGTCTGCTACAGGAGCTGACATTTCTGTGCATTTGCAACAAGCAGGTCCAGCTGAATTTCCACTGCTGTAAATATTTTGTCCATTAGCCTGTCACGTTCCCTGCTCCTGTGTGCTGAGAAATCACTGTGGGATGGCTCAGATGGATGTGCTGTACTCAGATTTCTTGTTTCAAGTGTTAGACTTTTACATCTTGGTTTATGTAAACAGAATGTGGCTGTTTGATTCACAGATAAGAAAAATTACATTCAGCATCTGAGAATGGTGAAAGGGCTCTGACCATATTTTCTTCTTCTTTTCTTTTCTTCCTTGTAGGGCAAGAAGAATGGACCAACTCACGACACAAGACACCTTCTGCAAGGACAACAAAAGGCATCTACAGAGACCAGCCATATGCCAGATACTGATTGTACTGTCTGATGTTGTGAAATATCCAATCTCCACCAGTCCTGTATACTGTTCAAAGTAATTTTTTCTATGAACAATCCCTTTTTATTAACTCAAAGTGCATAAAATTCTGAATGGATGGACTGAACTTAAAACATTTTGTTGAAAGAACAACCTGGACAGAAAGATATGTAAAACAAGGAACTTTGTTATTTCCAAACTGTGTTTGAAAAAATAGGTGATCAAAAAAATAACCTTTGATTAACTAGTGTTAAACAAAAAATAGGTTTACTAAATACATTAGTCCATTCTTTTTAACATAAGTGTAACCTTTTATTTTAAAGGTTTTCAACAATTTAGTTTTTAGCTTTTATTTTCAGCCATTTGCTAGATTTTCTCTTTGCAAACATGCGTAAAAAGGGAAGCAAACTACAAATGCGAATAATGTGGTATTTTGTAACTCAAGTCTTGAAATGTTCTGTAGTGTTAAGCAAAGTTTTACCCTTGCTTGATACTAAATAAACTTTTGAAAGAAAATCAGTGTGTGTGAGATTAATTTTATGCTTTATCTTATAATAAAACTTCATAAATAGTAGTAAACAGGGAGAAATGTTTAACAGTGATCAGCATAAAATGCTCATATTAAACATTGTGCAACTTCTTTTAAAACAACATGGTTTAAACCTAAATGTATCTCTCTATATACTCACAGTAGATATAAATGCTGTTTAAAATCTCCAAATGGTATGGATCTGCTTGAGTGCCACATTAAATCAAAATACTTTTGTTTAAAAATGGTTTAAAATAGCTAATGAATTTTCTGGAAAAAGATGTGACTAGTTTTCACCTTGTTGAGCATTTTTTCACTAGTGCAACTTTGGAATTTTTATGAGAATTTTGGTACCTTAATGACCACCTCGCTCCGTGCTGGAAGCAATAAACACAAAGCTTTTAAAGACTTTCTGACTTGACTAATTGAGGTCGCTTTCGTCAGAGGCAGAGGATGTGTAACCCTTAAAACGGTCTTCATTTGCAAAGGTAAATAAATCAAATAAGATTTTAATCTCACTTAAGTTATCTTAATACAACCAATAAAAACAGGGAGGCTACAACTTAGAAAGTTTCATTTTAGAATGTAGGAAAGACTTGTGAGGACACCTAAATTCTCATTTTAAAACGTTTAATTTGTATTAGTCATCTAAAAAGCCTTAGCTTAGCTAGTTAAATTTGGACAAACTATTCCCTATTAAACAACTGTAAAACCTCATAACCAATAGTTTGTAATATATTATTTTCCCATAAATTCTAGTAACTTAAACATTGCAAATGTTATCTAAAGCTTTTTTTAAGCATTGTTTCTATTAATTACAGCTTGATTTGCATTGTTTTCTTTAATTTTTATTTGAAATTCTTTGAAATTTAATAAAAACATTTTTTTTCCTCTCTTGTCAGGAAACTCGCCTCCTTGGACAGCCAAGAGAACAAAAACCCTAATCTTCTGATGCTTTGGTAGGTATCTTTATTCATCTCTGAAACTCTTAGATAGATAATGGAACTTTTGATCAGGTCCTTAATTCTGCACAAAGCTTTAAGTTATGTGTCACTGTCTGAGTTCAGTTCTGGTAGAAAAGTAATAGCTTTAAACTTTCATTAATCAGGACTTTAAGCTGTCACAGTGTGTGGACACTCCCCTGGTAGTTTATTGAAGGGTGTGCATAACTTTGGCAGCATCTCAAACAATTAAGTCTTTGACTGGACAGGGGAAGCTGAAGAAACCAAATGTAATTTGATGCTTGTAGTTTTCAAATAGGAATTTAAAACTCTAATCTGGTCAACAAACATGTCTAAAATATGAAAAATACATTTTGTAAACTGATTTTCAAAGCAGGCGTTTTTGCACAAGTAGCAGACTGATTTCTGGCATTAATTGAAGGAGAACAAATCCATTAAGAAACAGCTGAAGAATAGCTCTTACTGTTTATGGTCAATTCAATATATAAAGTAAGAAATAATTTAACTGTATTTATACTCAGATGGTGTAGATTTTAAATGAAACAGATTTCTTTCTACTGGGAATGGTAATTCTCCCTGCTAACCTCATGATCTCAGTGTTTTTAGTTGACAAGGCTCAGATAAATAGAGCTTTATACTGTGAAATATTGCATAAGTTGCACTGCCTCTGTGTACTACAGTAAATTTAAGAGGCTGCTATCACAGGCTAAAGGAACCTTTTGTACACACAAAATGGCTTTAGAACTGTTTTGAGCGTTTTAAGGACTTAAATCAAAGGACTCTAAGAGTAGGAGAGCTTCAAGAAGATTTCTCCCCTTTGGGGCTCAGAGGGGAAAGATTTAATACCAGCTGCTAGAATTGCTATGGCAAAACTGAATATATAAATATCTTTTAAAAATATTCATAACAATTGGCACAATCTCTCCTTCTGGTCACATCTTAAATCACGTAATATGATGAATTTCATAGGAAGTGTTCATCTGCAAACATCACGAATTACTTTAAATAGACAGAATGAAACTTCAGGGGTTGAAACTAAAATACCTAGTAGCAAGGGTGGCTAGTAGATAAATAAGTGAATCAGAAGTGGATTCAGTGGATTCTGTATTGTTTATCCAACTCTCTTTTATTTAATGCCATATTTTCTTATTGCCTCCAGTATGGAGGATGAACGTGTGATCAGCATGTGTTATTTCTGCCACTTCTCTGCTACTCTGCCCTGAGGTCCTAGAGAAACTTAAATTGTTTTAGGTTCCCTTTGGGATGGAAAAATGTGTCTCCCTGATAACAGAGGCTCTAAGTGCACCACTGAATGATTACCATGTGAATGAAGTTTTCCTTCTTCCAATGCTCTACCTCTTATTTCTCCTAAGAAAATGTGTTTCCATGCCTCTTCAAAGAAAAAAAAAAGTATCAATTCTCATGTCCTATGTGTGCACAATAAACTACATCAGTTCGAACAAATGGTATTGGATATTCTTCAAAACTATATTTTTGCAGTGCAAAACTTATCTTGGCATTTCCTCAAATAACATGCACTAGCATTGTTCTGCTATTGCATCTCTCTTGTGGGCATTTTTGTTTTTCTGTGGAGTAATCTCCTAAATTAAATCAATTTGATTTTGAGCAGAGGGAAAAATAATCTGTAAAGGTCTCTACATGAAAGAAAACCAGTGTAGAAGGCAGCCTTCTTTCCATTGTGACAAACTTGGAAGTGTGTTTTCATTCTAATAGAGTTTTGCACTCTGACACTGGCCTGTTACTGTATGTTACTGGTCAAATAAGTAATGTTAATGGTCATAATTAGTCATATCAATAATTTGCCTTTATTGAATCTTATAAAAATTCCACTGAATTTCAATGATAGCAGTTTCTGCAATGCTTGCCTAGATCCACATTCATTTATTATCTGCATAATTGTCTGATTCCTCTGCTTGCAGTCTGACAGGCTTCAGAGAATTCATGATCTCTAGTCTCAAGATATGTACAAATAAAGTGTATTTTGCTCTTTTTCAGGAACTTCTGCCATGTTAATTATGGACTGCTTAGAGCACTGTACTTACCCATATGCTCAGATACTGATGAGAACGAATATGAGAATCCTGCTCAGCATTTCTTGTATGAAAGCCTTAAAGTGTAAAACAGCATACACTTTTTAAAAACAATTGTATATTGAAATTCTTAACTGTATAGTGATGCAACAATGTTTTATTTGGAGCTCAATAAAGAATTTCCATCTACGTTCCTGTTATAAAGCAATAATGTGACCTCCTTTTCTTTAGTGACTCTTTTTAGCCTTATGCAGCAAGTGTGAGAGAGTGTGTGAAGTCTCATGACTAGAACTTAAATTCTTCTGGAAATAGCTTGTCTAATGTATGAACAACATGGATAAGTTACAATGAAGATTGGTGTTTTCTGCTGAAGCTTTTTTTAATAGTTAATTGTAAACAAGTCTGCTCCAGACAGGACTCTTGGGTAGAAATAATGCTCCAACTTCTATTTCCTTCAAAAACTTGTATAACAAGAAGTGTTTAATCCCTGTCAATTATACTATGCTGCTTATTCTCTTTCACTTGGCGTTTGATGCATAGAAATCTTTTCTCTAATACACAGTCACAGGTTTTCTAGTAGTAGAGTCTTGGATGAGAATTTTGCACCTTGATAAATCTTGTATCCAACAGTCATGTTTCCTCAGTGCTTTCTGTTTTATATTAATTGTGATTGTGATAATTTGTAACACAAATAAAGTTCTGATAATTTATTTTCTTTTGTTCTTTTTCATAAATACTGCTTGCAGAGCACGTGTGCCCCTTTCATAATTATGGTTCCATCAGATGCATTTTTCTTCACTGAATCTCAATTTATTGCCAACAAAAGTATAATGTGATTCTGTGTTGTTGCTGTTTTGAACATAAACAATACCGCTTGACAGTTTCACACCAAAATGCTGCCTCTTCAACAGGTTTTCATAACTTCTAATTCCATATACTGACTACTGAAAAATAGCTTTGAATTTTTGGGGTTGTGGATAAAAATAAGATTTCCTATTAACTGTGGCACCAATCAAATAATCTTGAGTAAGGCAGTTTTTAATAGACTTAGTAAGCTGACCATTAAGTGTCTGTATGTTTAACCTCTGAATATTTAAGGTGATTTTGTCAGTTAATCTCACCATCTGGAGAGGTTTTCCCTGCCTTCATCTCTCACTGTGCTAAAACTGCATTTCTAAACTGTTTTCTACAGCCAGGAATAGTAATTATTTAAATAAGTGAAAGCAAAATCAAGAAAAAAATTTCTTTGAATAAGCACAAGAGATGTATAATAATGATTCCTTCAGACTGACAGGCAGGAGCCTCTGTTGTAGAACAGCACCTCACATTTTAAATGCAGGCCAAGTATAAAAACTGTATATAGATACTGTGTGGGGAATTTAGATAAGCAGAATGCAATTTCACTTTCTGTAATTTGGACACCAGGACTGCCAGCACAAGCTCATTTGAGGAGCACTATGAACTACTCAAGGAGTGAAGTATCACCTTCCTTTCTGGAGTCATGGGCTGCTTAATGGCAATACTAAAATATTTTGCTGGTGTGACTTGTGTGACTGTCAGTGTTATCTAGCAAATGTGGCTTCCCTGGGGTCTTGTTTGATTGCTGAGTGGCCTAAGAGGAACCACTGGGGTCTGATCAAGGTGGGCTGCCTGTGGCCATCCAGCTGTTGGGGTTACCAAGTACTTTGCTTTGTTTCACTGAGAGTTTAAGGCCTGGCTGTCTCCAGCCCTTGCAGCCTGGACTTCAGCCCCTTCCAACCAAAACCATTCTGTGGCTCCATTTCTGCTGGGTTTTATCATCGCTAGGTAAAAATTTAAGTGCTTGTGCTTGTGTTTTGAGTGAAATCTGGGTCTCTCACTTGTCACTCACTTCAGGAGCACACCTGCAGCCTTGTGCTGCCTCAGTGATGTTGCACTGTGCCACAGTCCTGATGCTCTGTTCCCAGGTGCCAGTTCATCAATTTACTTCAAAGGTTTTGAGGAAGGATGTGAGCCTGCTCCTTCAAATGAGTTGTCCAGTCTGCATCACAGCCTGTCCCATTGTGTCTGCTCTTTTGGGGATGACCCCACCTATGAGGGCACAATAAATCTATGAAAATATGTTTGTTCCATGACTATGAATTAAAACATACTTTGAGGTCAGATATCTTTCTAAGAGATGTTGAAGAACATGAATTTCATGCTGGAACTTCATCCTTCTGGTAACAAAGGAACTGAAAAGTTAAATATCAGATTGCAAAACTCAACTTAAAATGCATATATAATGATTTGGTATAAATAAAATCAAATCTGTTCTTGAGTGGTTCTGCTCCAATTTTCCCACACAGAATTTTGCATTTTTAAAACTATTTTAGCTATAATTGGATTTCTGTAGTAAGTTCACAAATGTGTGCTAAAAGGCCAGATTTGTAGAAGAATTTCCAGGTTGCCCATGTCCAAGAAAACCAGCATTGTTGGCAGCTGAAGTAAATACACACCAAATATCTTTGACTTTATAACTTTATGAAAAAGACTAATTGGATGAAGGGGCTGAGGATTCCTTTCACAAGCTCAGCAGTTTTGTCTGAGACAGCTGCATTTGTTTAATGGGGAGAAAAACCCCTTTGGTAATGGAAATTATTGAAGGTATTTAGTATTAAAGCAGACATTGTGAAGATAAATGTTTGTGCAGCCTCAGATACTTCATTGTGCATTGACCCTTGTCTTCAGGCAGGCTTTCCACATGATTGGAAGTCAAGAGAACATCTCTGGCAAACCTGGATTTTAAAGATATTTAAGCTGTAGCCAGGGGCCAAAATAAAGCTGCTTTGCTGCATAGTTCTTTTTTAGGTCTTTTTTCCCCATCAGTGGGAAGGTATTAAAAAAGTGTGAGATGTTAACACTCCTAGAAACAGGACATTAGGAAATAGGCTTAATGGACACTTTCACTTTTTGGTCGGAGATGTACTTGACAAATGTGAAATTTATTTTAATTTATATTTAATAAAGGTTTATGGCAAAATTTATCAGGAATCTATATATCCAGTAATCAAAAAAACTCATTTTCTTTCAAGATGGCCACTGAGCCAGAAATCCTGACTAAACAAGATTCTGATCTTATTACGCAGAGAAAAATCAAATAAAAATCAGTCCTCAGAGTATAGTTTCTGCTTTTGCAAAGCTAAATACTAAACCAGATTTTTTATGCTTAGAACCATTTGGCTTGAAATAGCATAAATAATTTTATCTTTATGTTCCTGCTGAAATTTAGAATAAAAATAGCAGTTTTCAACCCAAGTGAAATTCCTGCTCCTTTGTGAACATAATGGGAAGTTGTAGGGTTTTTTCTGACCTCCAGAGAGTGATTTTTTTCACCCTCAGACAAAACATAGTAAACTGCTCCAAACGCTTACTCAAGCAGTAACCCAGGAACTCAAGTTTTTTGTCTTCAGTGGCAAAAGGATTGGTGGTAATTTGTGCTTTTGCTGTTGATCTGGTTATGAAGGTCAATACAAAGATCCTGATGTCCTAAACATCTCAGGAGGATGAAACACTTTTTATTCATTTGAATACCTGCCTTGGTTTTTTGTTCCTCTGTTAAAAGTTTAGTATGGAGGTAGCTGTTTGTTGTCTTTCTTACTGAAAGAAGATATGCAGGCTCCATCTCAGAATTAACTACTCCTATTATGATAATTTAAAAAAAAATGTAAAAAAGGAAAATACTTTTGTTGATTGAGTTGATTCTTCTGATAGTGCAACTACAAGTTCAGAAATCCATGGATGAAGATGCTCTTGCTTCAGATAGTGAGACTGCTAAATCTGCATTCACAGACTCTGGGCTTTTGCTAAAACATTTTGCAACATTTATGTTACAATATAAATATTTACTATTTAGAAAATATGATAGACCTTCAGGATTGTTAATTACAGTTTGAAATCAAACAGTTAATTACAGTTTGAAATCAAAGACTATACAGACTTCTGCCTGCATGCATACTGAAAATCATCTGACTAATGCTGATTATCAGACTTATTCACATGTGAAAGTTGGACTTAATCTTTTTAGTAGAAGTTTAGAGATTCATAGAAAGAAAGTTGGAGGGGACCCACAAGGATCATCAAGTCCAGCTATTACAGGGACAGCCCTCACAACCTTGGTGTTACCAGCACTAAGGTGCTCTGACCAACTGAGCCAATCTCAATTATAAGCAATGAATAAGACAGCACAAACCTGCTTTCAAAATTCAAAATTAGAGCATGTGCCATGCATGGTTTCTCTATTTTATAGCACTTGAGGGTCTAACTTCAAATGGTTTGAATAGAAAATTCCCTTAAATACTTAAAATACTCCAGTGATGATTTTCTCATACAGCTTACTAATAAGAAAAGTGTGTGTGTTTTTCATTATTCATTCTAAGACTATTTTTTTTTTTAACATCAGAAATAGGATGACTCTAAGACTGACAGAATTAATAAGTCAAGAAGCAGAGCTGATCCCCAGGCAGTTCTCCTGAATGAGCTACAGGATAAATACATAAGGGATTGTGGTGTGTTTGATGGTGGTGACCATGAAATGCATTTACCTTATTAGACTAATTACAGGCTTGAGGAAATGAAAATGTAAAAATAATACAAGCATATTACAAAAAAAGGAAATTGAGAAGTGGTTGTTAAAAAGAAGGCTAAATACTCAAAGACAATTTGGATTTCAAAATGTGGAATAGAAGAGGAAAACCACCGTGTTCCAGAACACATATTCCTTAGCTAGCTTTGGAAGACATGATATTTTTTTTTTCCTTTCTGTTTAGGTTATTGGTTATTCAATCTATTTTTCCCTGAAGTTCACTCTCAGTTTAAACATATTTGATGTTAGGAAGCTGAAGTGATGCATCTTAGTCCAGAGGGGCAAGATAAACACAGGTCACAGTTATGGCCTGTGATAACAACTTTTTTTTATTATTTTTCTGCCTATATGTAACTGGTCTGGCATTGAAATTCCTCACCTAGCAAGAACAGCAGCACTAATTTTTGGTGATACACTTCAAAGATATAAGCATATAACTTTCGTAAATGCCACAATCAATAGTCCTTTGAAAGGTCACTTTGTGTACTGAATAATATTTATAGGCATGTGTACATAATTTAATGGTTTTGGTAAGGGCCCTTCAAAAGAATAATTCAAAGGACAGAAGGTGATATCTTACTGTGAGAGACTTAAAAAGCTTGATTATGGTTTATAATTGCTCGCACAGGGAGAAAATAACAAGTACTAAATTACTCTAATCTAGTAGTGAAAAAAGTAAGAACTAATGCTGAGTAAAAACCCTGCAGTCTTAAATAGGAAATTAGGCTCAAATGAGAGTGATTAACCACAGCAGCAAGCTACATGAAAAGAATGGGCCTCTCTTTGTTTTCCTGCATAGCAGCTAGATTGGATGATCTCATAACTGTGTCTGAGCTTGAGAGTCATGGATCAATGATTATTGTATAACAATTCTCACTGTTACTTTCTTTAACTGATTTTCAGACTAACGTGTGAGAGTTAAGATGATCAAAATCCCTTTTATTCACAGGGGTGAATTCTCCATTTCTGTCTATGTTATTTATGTGCTGCACATCCTACTGATTTTGCAAACTGAAAGGGAGATCAGTCGGTGTTTCCTGGTGCTGACACACCGACAGAACTCTTGTTCCTCATGCAGGCTGCCCCTAGAGATTCTGGGTATTGCAG